TTTGGACTGATATGTTTGCATGTTTCCAGAAAATAGAATAATTTGAAAAGATGATATATTACCAAAAAATTGTGTTTTAAATAGGTGTGGGGAAAAAAATTCTGTATTAGTTGTTATTGAAACCTTAATTAGAAGGTTCTTTATCATGGATTAGGGAAATGATCCCTTTTTAGTTACAAACTGGCTCTGCAGTCGTTATTTTGAAAAGCTGTTGAACTCTCTTGAGTAACTGCAACAGTGGAAATCGGAAGAATATGAAGGACACATCAGTCTGTTCTTTTCTATCATCTGGTACATGCTGTGCACTGATCTCCTGATCTGCACAAGGTATTCATCCACTGTACGCCCTTCACCGCTATGTTCACCACACTTCCTATGTAGTATATTGATCACATTGCGGACCTTGACAGCGGAACTGGCATGTCACTGAATTCTGTTGGCAGTGTACACTATGTTAGTAAGGAAAGATGGGCAGAGTATGTTCTACTATGCAGAAATTATAATGGCATTATGAGGTATGATGAATTTCTTTCTGTAAAATTAATAATAATAGAAACTATAGGTGTTTTTACATGACTATGCATTCACTTTATTTATTTTAATTTTTTTTTCGTCCTAAGGAGTCATATTAGTTTCCTGTTCATTGCAGTGCAATGATTGTCATGATTAAGTTGTCAAACGGATTGATGTAAACATTCACATTTAAAGTTAGTAAGAATTTTGCACACTCATTTGTGGTAGGTCTCCTAGACAGTAGGATAGCTCGTACCACTAATAATTGACTGCCTCTTTGAGCATCTGTTTCACTGCAACTTGAGATCAAATATTTTGGTGAAGGGATTCTCTAAGGATACACACAAGAGCATACATTATGGTGGAGAGGACTAAGGGGGTTACAGAACTGCTCTATTCTGCTCAGGAAATCTGAACAGGTTCGTCCAAAAACAGAAAAAATTGAGGATAACCAAGCTGTCTGATGGTATATAGCTAACATAAGTATGTAGTATGTGTGTTCTGTTAAAACTTTGCTTTTAAAGTACAGAGCTCTCTAAACTATTTTTACATCCTAGGCTAGTCTATACATGTATCTAATTTTTTCCCAAATAAAGCAGATTAAGTCAAATGATATTATCACAGCAAGTCATATTCCATTCTCACCTACACCAATGTGATGTAAAATCAAGTGGCTTGCAGTGGTGTACCAGAAGTATTGTCCCACTAATTTCATTTTCACTTCCATATTCTGTATTTGAGCAAGGAGGATGACATATAGTCAGGAAGGTAAAATCGATTTAGGTTATCTCCTTTCATGCTAAGTTTGCCTACTGCCTATGTTGCAGGAATTTTATGACTTGGGGACTGAACTGTTTAAAATCACAATAACTTTATACTTTTTCTGGGTACTCTAGGCAGCTATACTAATTATTGATTTTCTCCAATGCCCTTTTCTTCAGTTAATATTACAATTTTATGGTTATCTGGTCAAAGGACCACAGAATGCCAGTGAAAATGCAAACAGAATGCAATAGTTTGATAAAGTTCAATAAATGTAGGTCAGTATGAATTTGTAAAATGATGCAGTTCTATGCAGAATTATTAAAATCTGTATATTGCTGAAATCATCACTTGAAGACCTCTCCAAAAGTGCCAGGAACAACATTATATGTGTATTTTTAACCTTTATACAGACAGCAGGAGCACTGTCAACCGAATTTACATCTCATAGCTGGAACTAACACCACTGCCTACTGCATAATGAAGTATCAGAATAACAATAAGTTGCCTTTTCATATGAATATGTTTTGTTTCTAAAATATATAAAGCAAATAATTTTATCATTAATAAATCAAAGCCACTGCACTGATTTTTAATTGTGGGCTTTGAGCGCTTACGTTGATAATCCTATGCCTATTTTCAGTTACATGAAAAATTCCCTATGGCAAGGGAAACACACTTTGTGTTACCCAGTATATTCACTTTTTAACAAAACAGTGCATCCTAAAAATAAGCAGGCTGCAAAAGTATGTTGAAAATTTTTTGTAAGTGCTTAAAAACCTCAAACTTTTAAATGGATTATAGTACAGCATTAGTGAGGTTGTGTGATAATCAGGAAGAATCATGATGATTTGGATGATAGTACTGTCTGAAAGATCATGAATTGCATTGAACTTCGACAAGTATTTTACACTTCAATTAATTTTAGCAAATAATGATTATTAATCATTCATTCAAGGTAATTTGGTAAATTCAGATTAATGACAATGGGAAACATTCTGCATCCCATTATCATTACATCTGTAATACAAATTTATATTTTTATTGTTCTGTGGGAGTTTTCATCAGCAGTTGTGTTCTAAATAACAAAGCTTCCATATCCTCTATTGGGAAGAAATAGGTAAGTATATAAGAACACAAATAAACTGTAGTAATGTGTTGATAGATAATTTATCAGTTATAGATAGTGGTACTAAAACTGAATAGAGGACTCTGTAATCAAAATGAACAAGAAATGCATTAAATATGTAAAACATAGATCATACACTCTAATATTGAAGGTAAAGTGGCATAAAATAAAAGAACAAAGTTGATACTGTATGCATTTTCTACTTATTCATTTGTTTATGATTGATTGATGTAGAACAAAGAGTTTCCAAGTAAAAAATGCTTATGTACCTACATGCAGTGACTCTGAAATCTGTACCTTAAGGACAAAGAAAGGTCACCAATCTCTCCGACTCCTAGTTCTTTGTCAAAAATGGACACAGTTAATGAGGTTTGTTTGGTACAGCACAAATTCTCAGACACAGATAGAGATCCTTTCAATGGAAACAAATTTGTTTGGCTTTACCAGGTTACTTAGCGATTAATAATAGCCTTGAGATGCAGGTCAGAAAGGTCACCGTCCCCGCTTGCCAATACAATCTAAAATGTGCAGCTAGTCCGGCTCTGCAGGCTCTGAGGCCCCAAAACGCTATGCATAAAGTAAAACAGGCTATTTTCCAACTTCTTTTTTCATATTAATAAGCAATTTTCAAGAGAAGGGTGGCAAAATGGGGGCCATGCCACTCTAAGTAATTCATTTATTTTGCAATTTAATCTTATGTTGGAAAAAAATTACACTGCTGCAAAAGCATACCATGGTGATTTTTAAACGTCAGTGTGCTTCATAAGTAACCTTGTATGAAATATTGTATTAGCAGCCTTTAACAGTAAACTGCAACAAAAACTATTTCCAGAGATTGAAACAGACCTATACATCTTTTCCGATCTTTAATTTTTTTTTCCTATCTTTCTGTTTTTTCTTACATTTGAAATAAGACATTTAATTACTTAATATTGTACTTATTTGAGTTGATAAAAAACTTCAAAGATAGCATGAAACAAATAAAAAGTCTACATTGCATCTTGTATTTAAGAATGGGATTTCATAGTGTTCGTATTTATAAAGCGATTCTTGCTCTTTCACATATTTTGATGAACCAATTTGACATTTTGATAATTAAAATATTAAGAAGAAGTCTAAGTCACAACCTTAAAGACACTTTCAGGAGCAATATGACTTTCCCATGGGATTATTCATATCAAGAAAGTTATTCATGTGCATGTGACAGGATTTGACCCTTGTCCTAGAGTGTCTTATTTGGTACTCATTGAAACAACTGAGACTATTAATGTGGACCTCGCTAAAGAATTCGTTTTGCTGGAATATTTCAATTATCCCAATATGTGAATAGTATATTTTTCTTTGCTTTTTATTTTATCATATACACACATGCTTTAAAAAAAAAAGACTAGAATTTACTCACTTAATTAACTTTTAAACAATCTAAATGCTTGACTGAATGTGCTTGGTGTCTTTGGCACATGGGTTAATTTGAACCAACCGTTTCTTAATAACAAAAATAACAAATGTTAATCTAACTAACCTTTTTTAACTGGGTTAAAAAATATTCCGTACACACGCACAGTGCCCAATAACGTGGAATTTTGTTTCTTATAGAACATTTAATTCTCTCCACTTTTTGTTTAATTTATGGCAAGTCTGGCTCTATGAAAAAAAAAGCCAGGAGAAAATGGGAGAAACTGAGGAGAAAATATATTCCCATTTTCTGTTAAATTGTCCTCTAAACATTCAGCTAAAATAATTGGTTTTCTCCATTCTTCAAGAGCTGGTATTAGGTAGAATTCCTTATTTCTTTTATGAGGAAAGAATTTTCTACGACCCATTGAACTCACAGCCCCACCCATTTAGCTGCCAATACGTGTTTGCAAACCTCCATCATGCAGTGGCTCAGGAGGCAGTCACGTTCCTCTTTCTTGTGGTGACCTGTACCATTGCTATCAGACCTGAGCAGAAAGTGACCTGTGCAGGAAGCCTAATGCTTTGTCCTCTTAAGGACATTGCATGCATAAAAGGTTTACATCCAGTTCTTCTCTGTGCCCACATTCTCAACCTTACTTGGTGGCTGAAGGGTCTAGGAGTGAACGTCAACTCTTCTCCTGTGCCTGCTACGCTCTCTCAATTCCATGAGGTCTGCCCTGTTTGCAGATCAGAAGGTGTTGCAAGGCACTAGCTGAAACATAAGTGAACAAGTTTTATTTTGAAACCATTTGAAGGAAAATCACTAAATTATAATAACTGTTGCTTAGAGAAATTCAAACTTGAATGACTCTTAAAGACAAAGAAGGACATCTATGGAGGCTATTTTATCAAGCTATAAAAATATGTAGGTTGACATGTTCTTCAAAAGAGTAAGCAAAATGAGCTAACATACTGTTACTGTTTTTATAATTTTAATCATATTTCTTCACAGTTATATCAATGTATAATCCTACTGCTGTGGAACTGAATGAGCCGTAATTTTGCATTCCAGCAGTGTCAGTATCCTGCTAATCCATAATAGCAGATCACTGGAAACCTGTAAAAGGGTTAAAATAAAATAAAACATTAGCATGTCTTTTATTGTTGTCATGTAATTAGCAGAATTATTTTATTACAGGGATGAACTCCAAGAGTACGCAGAAATGAAGGAAAATGAAGAGAAAAAGAAAGACCTAGAAAAGAAAGAAAAGGAAAAGAAATACCAAGCCCGAAAGATGCATTACCTCCTTAGCACTGAGCAGGTTGGTGTACCTGTCCCTGACAGCTCATGCAAACCACTTGGGCCCCCAGCCTGACAGAGATAAACTAGCAGGCTGAATGGGACATGACTTGTTGAAAAGATATCACAAAGACACTACTTCGAGTTCAATTTAGTGCTTTTCTATAGGCAAGCGCAGGAACCATGACTATTCCGTGACAGCAGCTTCATAGAGGCAGCATCAGCACTGCTGGCAGCAAGAGCCCAAGTCAGCAGTTTGATCTGCCACTGTGATAACACAACACGAAGGGCATAACCTCGCTTTAAAAACTCATTTTGACTGGCTTATTGTTGTGTTGTTGCACTTGTCAAGAACTAACAAGTTATTAAGCTGAGAAAGGATTTCATTTTTTTTTTCCCTATTTTTAATTGAGCTAATGCTGGAATTGGTGCCGTGTTCTGCTTTTTTTTAGGATGGATTGTAAATGCACGTTTTCAGCGATAGCTTTTCCTAGAACTGTCTGAATCAGCTTATTTAGCGTGATTGTTTTCACATAGAAACACCTCATAAATTTTAAATATTTACTGATTAATATGTTTTGTATTGATACAAGGGGTATACTTTTTCAAGCTTTCGTATTTAAGCTGCTTTCAAAGACAGGTGAATATGGCAGTAGATATATCTTAGACAAAACTGGTAAAGCTTGTAGATCTGCCTTATTTTAGTCCCCTTTTGTGAACTTTTATTTGTTTACTGGTTGTTCTTCATATGAATAAGGAATTAACATGCAATCAGGGTATGCTAGTATGAACTGTTTGCTTTTCATAGGTTGTTAATTATAATCTGTTTGTAAGAACTGTTAATCCTAAAGAATGCAGAAAAAATGCCATGACAGCTAGTGACAGATTAGTTTTTTTTTTTCTGTTTGGGAATAATTTGTGATCTATCCAATAAATAGAAATATAATTTAATTAACTGGGTATCAGTTATGAAAATTCGTTTTGTAACTCATATTTAAGTAATTTTATTTGTAAAAAGAATAGCATAGTAAAATATTAGTAAAAAACAACATTAAAAGTACTCTGAGTGTCCTTTGGACAGGGGACTTAGTTCATAATTGAAATTAGCTCACAATAATTGATTTGTCCAAACTGAGATATTAAGAATAATCTGCACAGTGTTTCTATATTGCTTTAAACTTTAGAAAACTGGGAGTTCTTGTTTTGAACTGAACAATTTATGTAAACAAATGCATAAAATTTAATATGTTTACCTGGAGCACAAAAATCATCTGGTTAGAGACACTGAGTTGCCTGTGGTCTAAAAAGATTTTCATAAACTTAATTCACTTCTGGTGGTACTAGCCTAGCATATTTTTAAGGAATGGCAAGTAATGCCTTATTTCAGCCATCCACCTGGAGGACTGCTGGTAAAGGGCAGCAGTAGCTATTATGTTCTGACGAATTTGGGTTTCTAATTTTACAGATTTAGAATTTAGCTAGCAGTGTTTTACAGAACAATATGCTTGGTTTTGCTTGGTGAGATGGTTTGTCAATACTGGGACTCAGAGGCCACAGAGATTTCCCTTTATCACAGAACTGTGCTCCAAGAACCATCTTTTTTTACAGGTAGTATTTTGAAACATGAATGAGTGTAAATCAATCCAACACCTACAGACAACCTGAAAACCAGCAAAGATATATACGTAGTAAACTACTTATTGCAGTCAAAGTCTGTGTTTCACAATTGCACATACTTGTAGAATTTGATATCTTGCTAAGATACAGAGCAAATTATTTCAGTGCAGGATTTACTGGTTTGATGCTCTGTGTCTGACATTTTACTCTCTATATGCCTGATCTTCTGATCTGACTACAGCTGCATTTTTCTGTCTTCAAATGATAGTTAATTGGATTACTGACCAAGGTATGTATCAGTTGAAGCAGGGCAGCAAAAGTCAAAACCTTTGTGTGAGTTAAGGAAAAATACAAACTGTAAGCAGGGGCCATAGCAAATTAAAAGATGGGCTGGATTTATTGTGGAGTCACGTATTAACTAAAGACCAATAAGTTGTAGAGATGATCTGCTAAAGTTTGCTACTATCTCCTCCCCTTCCTGCCATGCATAATGAGGTGCAATGATGGAGCTGAGCCACCTCATGCATCAAGGCTGCGGATGTCCAGGCAGGTTATATAGACAGGGTTGAAGAATCTGTATTTGCAATAATTGTTTTAAATATATCCTATGCTTTTGAATCTTTTTGTTTCAATACAGGCAATAAGGTAAAAAACCCAGTGTTTACTTATTGACAGAAAGGAATTAAGGAGTTGTTGCACCTCAATTTTTGTAAAGAAAGGCTTATCTAGTTCCATTCTCCACTCCCTAAAAGCTGAAGCCCAGAAACCCATCTTAGAAGCATGTTACAGGTTAAACAGGGAGATGATCAAACATCTTAGCATTGTGCAATGTATCAGATGATACAGTGGTTCTTTCTGGCCTTAAAGTCCACATTAATCCATTATTGATTGCAGAATTAGCCCTTCTCATTCCACGGATAAAATATATATATATATATTATTGCTAGCATTATTTTACATTTCAAAAAGTAACACTTAAGAATGCTAGTGTCAGAATGTGCAGGGGTGTCTAGTATGTATATAATAGCATGGCCTATGATGAAGACAACATGTTTTGTCTTTTTCATGAATTTACTTGCTTTTTGAGTATTTATTTCTTCTATAAACTGTTACCTTTATAAAGAAAAAAAAAGAGATGAGGAAGTGGATATCAAACTCTGAATTAGTGTGCATTATTTATTGTTTCTGGTACCAGGTATATACACATAGTTTTATATAGACAGATGTGAGCTTGCTTTGATTACTTTCCAAGTCAATCTGGAGCTATAACATGGGGCTGAACCCAGACTAATTAGCCCTGTTGAGAGCCACGGTATATTAGCTCAAGAATTAATGTAGTTACACAGCTTCTAGTCAGCTCAAAATAAGGGCAGAGTAAGTGTGTTTATGCTTTAAACTTGGGAACAAGGAGTTTGATCTGCCTACAAAATATTATGGTCATATCTACATATAAGTTGTTTTGTCTGCAGATCCCCAACTTTTTTGGGGAGGTGTGTGTATTGAGTACCATTGCTATGAAACTGATACTCAGGGAAATCATTGGATGACAAAAAATGTATGGTATTATGCTATACTTTACAATTTTCCTATATTTTTTGCAAACAGTTGCCTGACTGTATTTGACATAGAAACTTACCCACATATGACTATTTCCAGTTGCCACTTGTAGAAATACATGGAAGTTACACAAACATTTTAATCCACATAAGAACTAAGCAGTTCGTTAGAATAAAAGAATGTTAGTATTTTAGCAAAGAAGTTTAAAGAAAAGAAAATTAAGTCATGATCTTTGCATCAATACTTACTAAGAGTAATACTGTTAATTTGCTGTTATTAATAGTATAGTAATGATTTAAATTAACAATATAATATTGACTGTCTTTCTGTGCAAATGCAATGTTATGCATTCTGACAACTTGAAAGCATGTTTTTTTCTTTACTACAGCTATATATTTTTTCTGTTGTGCCAGTAATATCCATTCAGCACAAATATAACCCTATTTGTAGGCATAAGAGTGAGCTTGAAAAATAAAAGTAAATTTTAATTTTATTTCAATTAATTTAGTTGCCAAATAATGTCTGGAGAAGTAAAGCATGAGCTCTAAAACTTCATGGTTCTGAAACATTAAGCTTTTAATCAACTTGCTATATATGCCAGTAGTATCAATAACTAGTCAAGTAACATTTTGAACACATGAGTTTCTTTGGTTTGAAGGAAATTTCTCCTCCATGAGTCCCATCATTATGAAAAAAATCCCAAGTCAAGTCCATGCCCTTCTTATCACATGATAAATTATGTTGTCCGCTCCACCTACTGGTTACTTGGTGCAAGAGATTCCAGTGTAAAATACAGCAAGAAATAAATCTGTGAGGTGGCAGCTGTGAGCCTTCCAAACTAAATTCTATTTAAAAAATAAGATTAATGATATTTCAGATTTTAAAATTTATATATAAATAACAGTGTTTTCCTTGTCTGTTTTTACCTTAACAATCTGATAAATTGTGGCTTCATGATGATCATGACAAAAATTGCAGTACATATTGAACAAACCTTTGTCTTTGTTAAGAGTATTTCTTGTCATTTCTTATTGGTAACACTATAGAAATAACAGTGCCAATGTATTTTCTCATTGTTTTTATCTGTTTTATCATGAACTACATTGCAATTTCTTATTGAGAAAATAAACTTAAAATAATTAAGTTTTTCTTGCTAGTCCATAATCACAGTATGCTCTTTCCATTGCGGTGGTTATTGTCCTTTTTTTTTTTTAATGTTGTCATTACTGAATGAACAACTTATTAAACATGGTCTCCTGTTATAAACATGGTTACCTGTGTAGATTATCCTTCTATATCCCTGTAGTTCCCCTTTCTGTACTAACAAAACTCACTATCCCCAAAATCTTTCCTGGAGCAGGCTAATGAATATTCAGAAGACACAACTGATTAATATGCTTCTAACCTAATGTGCTGTCCTGTAAGAACTTGAAAACCAATTGGTCTAAAATGACACTTTGACACCCACTCTGTCTCTGGACATCTGGCAGTTTTATTCTTATAAAGGTGAGGACTCAGTGGATAAAGCTCTGGCCTTTGATCTTCAGATCCACAGTTTAAGAGACAAGGCTGCAAGTTTGGTCGTTTGAGCTTAGTCCCAAGTGAACAGTCCACATCACAAAATGATTATACATAATTTGTTACTATTGGCAGTGCCTGTTCAGGAAAGGCCAAGGACTGAGCTAGCATGAAGAATGAATTAGCTCTTACCTTTTACATTTTATTTCCTCCCTCTTTACTGTTGTAATTTTATTATCCTGTCTCTAAAACATTCAGAGGATAAAACTATCATTCATTATAAGTACTTATACTTCCTGAAGATGAACTAAAATGGTTAATTTTTTTTAA